CTCATCATCATACATCATGTGGAGCTCTAACCAAAACATTCAAATCCAGAAGAGTTTTGAAAGTAAAACTCACTTCTGTGTGTCGAACATTTTATCTCCAAGTGAAGATCGGGTTAGTCGTGTTTAAAGACAGACCCTACACAGCGATCCGACCTGATCCTGAACTGCAGAGGTCAAGGGTCAGTGTTTAACACTGCACTGATGGTCACCTCAGATTCCCTTGTTTGAGATGTGTGATTACACATACACACACACACACACACACGCACACACATATATTCGTACACACAGGTAAAGCAGCGGCAGACCAGGAATGTCTCAGAACAAATTTACCCTCCAGATTTGTTTTTTCTCTCCATGTTTTGCTTTTTATATTATTTGCACATGGCAAAGAAAGGACACATACACACACAAGCACACACATGCCCCCTTTCCCGTCTCCTTGTGCGGTACAGATCCCCATCTCCACCCCTCTTGACCTGTAACCTCCTCCAAACAGTCGGTAGTCGCTTTAACCTGAGCTGTCAGTTACTATAACCTGAGGCCTGAGGGTAGCTGCAGCACTTCACCACACAGACACGCAGGAAGACGCGGAATCAAACAACGGTTCTCGGTGCGACCCCCGAGACCAAATCTGCACCACAATACAAAGCTCTACTCGTTGCAGTAATTTGAATGAAACTTGCATCTTTTTGCGCCTCTTCTCCCTGGGTTCCACTGTGCGTGCAACACTGGGCCCAAAAAAGTCAAACGGAGGAGAAACGTGCAGTTCGAAATAAGACAAATCAGTTTAAGCACTACAGTGAAAACAGAGCCTATGAACTGCGTTAAGAAATTATTCTTATTCACATTTTTCAATGGACAGAGAAAACATATTGCTTGTTTTTTTACACCTGTTTTTTAAATTTAGGGAAAAAAATGCGATCTTAATTAAAAAGTGAGAATGGGGAAGTAGGGAGGGAGTGAAAGTAAAGGAAGGGAACAAGGTAGAAAGGAAGGAGAATATCAGTGCTCATATACTTTTAATTTAAAATGTTTAAAGTGGCTATAATAAATGTAAAAAGGAGTTTCTCATCGTGATGAACCTGTGGAGAATTATCAGCTGAATCTGCAGCTCTTCTCGCCTTAACGGGGCTTCGTAATGAGCTTTGGCTCATTTTCTAAATGTGTGGCTGCACCAGACAGTTAGAGCATTTTTAGGAGCATTGAGTAGCGAGAGAACATTTCCCTCAGGAGATTCTCAGGATTTCAGGATTTGGTAGACACCAAAAACGGAGATTAAAGGAGAGGAAATATTGGACTTAAACACAAATCCAAGGTTCACCATCAACTTTAGAGGTGATTATTTGTCAATGTTGCGGTCAGAACTTGTTTCCACTGTCCCCAAGTGGTCCAAAAAATCATTGACTACTCCACACAGGGTGTTTCTTTGGAGCAGTGCTTGTGCGTATCTGCAAACGACACCAATAATGTTGCTTAGTGGATATTCTTTTTCATCCTCCAGTTGCACATAAAGCACACTGGCAAGTACGTGAACAAAGCAGCCACGTATGTGCTCTTAAAACTCGAGTATAAATAGTTATAGAGGGGAATTCACGGAGAACGAGAGAGAAGGTGGAATAGAGGGTGAAAGTGAATGAGAGAGGGGAAATACCAGGAGAAAACTTGTAGTATGTGTAGAAAATCAGAGTAGTGCTCCCTCCTTCTCTTAAGAGGAAATGGAGGGAGGAACCTGGGGATAAATAAGGTGCAGAGGCAATGAAAAGGTGGCAGAAAGTTATAAAAACACAACTGTTGAGGATGAGAAGAAAAGAGAGAGAGGAGGGAAAAATGAGGTAAAGAAGGAGAGGCAGTAAAGTGGGGGATTTCAGGCTCCTTTGTGGAGTTTGTTTTAGTTGGCGGTGGTGTTAATGGGTTAATGTGACGGAGAACACTGGGACCAGTCTGAACAGTCTCACTGGGTCGGACCTCCAGGTCACAGAGACCGACACGTTACCTGGAGCTCACGCGTTCGGCTTCCACGGCAGCCCCCCTGACCTGTCCAGATGTGCCCGAACGTATGATGACAAGCGGGGGAGAAAAGAGACAGAGATGGATAGAGAGGCAGAAAGAGAAAGAGGAGGAGGAGGAGGGATTACTCTGTGTCTTCTTTGGTGTTGTTTGTTGGTCTTAATGGGCCTGGGAACACTTAAAGCACTTTAACCAGTCTGACCAGTTTGACCTCCAGGGCACAGAGGTTAAAAGCCTTCTGCTGACAGACAGGAGGGAGCGAGGGGAAGAGGAGGGGAGAGGAAGGTGAAACTAAAGGAAGGTAGACATAAGAAGGAGAGGCAGTAAGGATGCAGAGGAGAGGGAGAAAGGAGGGAGATGGACGGAGACAAAGGTGAAGAAACCGAGAGAACACACGAGGAGAAGGAAAAGGTTGAAGAGTAGAGGGAGGGTGGAGTGTGTTTGTTAGAGCCTGACCGATTATTGATTATTACAAATATCCTGGTAACACCATGTATTTAACAAGAGATCACAGCACAGAAATCCCAAAACGTTTCATTTAATGTTCATTAGGTGCGTTGCGACGTATAGGTGTTGACGATAACAGTGATATTTAAATAATGGAATATTGATATCGATATTGATATTGTGTTAATGATGCACAGTTATGGTCTCAGACTCTCTCTCTCTCTCTCCACCTCCATACACTCCTATCTGACTCTTAAGTTTGAAGTTTGAAATCCACTCGTGAACCTATAGAACGGGTTGAAATTAATATATAATCATGCTTTTCATTTGTTTCTGGTGTCTTAACATATATACTATATTCTTGTTTGTGGTTGTGCAGTAATGAAACAAATTGAAGCCGCAGAGGTTCAAGGTTTAAGGGTCAGAATGGTTTTTATTATACAGTCGGGAATTGAACAGTTAAATGCATTGAATTGATATTCAGAATCTGTTGGTGTTCATTGGTCGTACAGATGGATAGAGGGAGAGGATGAGAAAGGTATGACACAGCCAAAGATGAGGAGATAGAAAACGAAAAGAGGAACTGAGAGGGAGGGAGGGCAGAGGAGGGTGAGGAGTGTGGGAGAGGGGAGGAAAGAGAAGAAGAGAGCGAGGGGAGGTCGCACTGTCAGGGCGTCTGACAGAGAGAGGAGAAAGTCTCTCTGCTTTTTATCATCTATCTTCTCTTCTGTCTGTCGGGGGTGTCGTCGTCTCTCTTTTCTTCTCCTCCCATCCGTCTTGCCTCCTGCTCTGTCTATCCTCAGCTCAAGAGGAGTTGTCGTGTGTATGTGTGTGTGTGTGTGTGTGTGTGTGTGTGTGTGTGTGTGTGTGTGTGTGTGTGTGTCAGTTCTTTACCGTCCTAATGATTCTAATGATTTATAAATTCACAGTTCACATAAATTCACATATTTTCAGACACACTCCTCATTTTCTTTCATTACACATATACACTTTTTCCATGGACACACACACACACACACACACACACACACACACACACACACACACACACACACACACACACACACACATACACATACTTGGGCTTCAATCACCTGTAACAGGTCGAGCTCAGGAACATCACGCCCCATTACACCACCACACCACCCTGTGTGTGTGTGTGTGTGTGTGTGTGTGTGTGTGTGTGTGTATATGTGTGTGTGAGACTGCATGAAGCCATTAGCTGTAATATATCCTTTCCTCTCTGTCTGTATTTGATCCCTGCTTTTTCTCTCCAGCTTGTTTGCTCTCTCTCTTTCTCTCTCTCTCTCTCTCTCTCTCTCTCTCTCTCTCTCTCTCTCTCTCTCTCTCTCTCTCTCTCCCTCTCCCTCTGTTAGTTTTGGGGTATTTCAAGGGAAGCTACAAGTCATCACCCCTTTCCCATGCTACATATAATTTCAGTATTGTGTGTGTGTGTGTGTGTGTGTGTGTGTGTGTGTGTGTGTGTGTGTGTGTGTGTGTGTGTGTGTGTGTGTGTGTGTGTGTACTTGGATTGGAGTTAAAGTTCTGGTTTATGTTGTTAATCCTCTGTCCTCACCTTGCCTGGAGATGTTTAGCGTAATCATTGCTGTGTGTGAGTATTTGTGTGGCTGTGTGTGTACATTAAGGGGTCTGCTTAGTATTGGGTTTTCTGTATCCTGTCCTGTCCACACTTTAAAAATGCTGACTCTTCAAGTGTGTGTGTGTGTGTTTCGTCAGCTGCCCCGTTTCCTTATCCATCGTTCAACGTCTTTCTTTTAAGAGAGTCGGGGTAGAACCGGAACTTCTTTTCTAGAAGTAAGAAAAACCTCACTAACGTTTATAATAACACAGATTATTTAACAAGGAACTCTGTCGATTCAGTGTTGCACTTCCACAAGAGACAGATTCAACATTTAATCGAAGCAGTACAGCTCGACTTTTAGTCTCAAGTATGGGTTGAGCTTTGAAAAGACAAAAAGAAGGAAGGAATAAACAGCAATCTTATAAAAACGCACCTTCATAACGGGACCTTTCTTTACAATATTAAATCTGAAACACAAGCCAAAGAAACTTGATTCCATTTTTTTTAATAATTAAATTTCATTGAAGAAATGAGGCCAAAATTTTGTTTGTTTTTTTAATTCAAGTTAGATACAAAAGAAACTGATAAAGAAATATAAACCGGAGCAAACGTCAGATTTTGGTACTCCAGACACATTTTGGTCGGTGCATCTCTGGCGGCCTCCAGGTCGAGGCTCCAATCATGAACTCAGCATTTTTGGTTCATACAGGCACATTTGTTGGATGACATTCACCTCTCTGTCATCTCTCTCTCCCCGCTGACTATCCAATAAAAGCATGAAATGCCCCAAAAAATATAGTAATTATTGAGGGAAAAGTAAGTGATGAAAAAGACCCCTAATGAGAGATTGCATTGAGTTTCAGGAGGTAGTGGAGCAGCAGCTGGACAGGAAGTGATCTGAGGACTCTGTACTTCAGTCTTAGTGTGTTAACATGTATTTGTTCTCTCTCTCTCCCTCCAGGTGTTGGTTCCTCCACCGTTGTGGAATTTTCGGCTTTCCTCAACGGCCACTACCCCCCCGCTGATCTGACCGGAGACATCACTGTGTCCTACAGCTCGCCAACAGGTACAGAAATCCTACGTGACACATTTAAAGCTGGTCCCCCCACCCCCCCCAGAAACTCTGGTAGTAATGAGTTTCTGTCTAACGCAGAATGAGTCAGTGAAACTTTGCTCTGAACTGATTATTAACTCGAAACAGAAAGAGCAGAATTACACACAGTTACATGTAAACCTGAAAAAAAGCATTGACACACTAAATATAAACCGCAGATTGAATTGAAATAGGCGCTATGTCTCTCTCAGTTTACAAATGGTTACTGTGACCATATAAGCGTTGTTACCTACGCCTGACACCATAGAGCCTCTCAGCCAATCAATATGCACCGTGTACGTGTAGGTGCGGTCACCAGGAACTCTTCTTTCACGTTCTTGATGAGCGTTTTCAACCTACACGGATTTATCTTTGCTTCTCTCCATGCTGCATCCACTTAACTTTAAATTCAATCACATTTAAACTTCACTTAATGTTCAGTCTGAATCCATCTTAACAGCTCTGATGGTGCAAACTCTCCCCCCATGACTCATAACAATTTTATTTTTGTTTTCCAAAAGAGTGATGACATTAAATGTAACTCTTTCTGGAGAAGCATCATGCAAACAGTGGAAACTATAACAGCCGTGATATTTTACATCTCAGACAACACAAAAGCTGAGAAAGAGCAGTTCAGTTAGTTCAGCTCTTTCCGGTTTTGTCTGTAACGCACGTTTAATTTGTTGTCACAGTGACAGCGTTAAAGGTAAAACTAGTCCGTCTGTAACAGCATTAGCATTAGAGCAAGTCACATTATGAACATCTCATCCATTATATGCAGTGTAACAGAACTGAACACCAGCTGCTAACAGAGCGCTGACTTGACGTAAGGACATCTGGGCTCTTTCCAAACTAACCCAGTTCATCCCCCTGCTCCCTCCAGGCATCTGTTTCCCAGCCCTGCAATATTTCTGGAAGATATTACTTTCCCTTTGCAAACCAACAAAACCACTCTTTATTTCAAATGTCACAGACCTCCTTTTTTTTTTTTGTTTTTTTTTTAAAATACTGATTTCAGCATTCGTTTAAAACGTAGCTCATGAAAAAAAAAAATCCATGTTTTCATGCTATTGTTTCCCTTGGATTACATTTGCCTTGGCAGGCCTCAGTTGGTGGAACAGTTTCCCCTCCCCAGAAGCACATTTAATGTGAAATGTCTGGAAATATTGGGAAGTGTTTCTTTTTTGTTAAGCTTTATTGTGATGCTATAAATAGCTGAAAATAAGGAGTCTGGAGTATTTCAATGAGCCTTGGAAGCCAAGCAGCTGGGGGAGAGTATGTGGGGGTGCGATATCATGTTTTGGAAAGGACCCGTTAGATTGGAGGTAGAATTAGAAGAGGTTTATTATAAGTTGGAGGAAGAGGAGGTGCGACGGGATGGAAAAAACAGAACAGAGGTGAGGCACATGAGGAGTTAGACAAGGAGGAGCAGGTAAGGAGGTGAGTTATGCTCGGTGGAGAGGAAAAACAAGAGAAAAATGTACATAAGCTTGGGTGGAGAGAAAGGAAGGGAGGTATTTTAGACTGAAAAGAAAAGGGGCAGGAAGTAGAGGTATGCCAGCGTGGATACGAGAGTGGAGGGAAACAGGGAAAACGCGTTTTATAAGGTGTCAACCTGAAGAAGTAAAGGGACGACATATAAAGCAATCTGGGACCTGGCTGCAGGGGTTTGCTCCGTGAGTGAGGTCCAGCTCTGACTTCCTGTTCATCCCGAAGGTGCTGGATGGTGTTAAATTGGGTCAGGGCTCTGTGCGGGACGGTCAAGCCCGAAACTAGGACATTTCTTTATGGAAATGTGATATTGTTATGTTGAAACAGGAAAGGACCTTCTCAAAATATAAATGAGCGTCTCACATTAAAGTGAGAATTAAGGCCCAAACCTCGAAAATCACTCTCAGACCAAAGAGTACACAAGATAAGTGTCCACATGCTTTTGGCCAGATCATTTCCATTACATCTGGCAATGTACAGGAAAGTGTGCAGCTGCAGTGTAATCTAGGAAGGTAGTTGGAAGTAAACAAGCTGGTGTTATTGCAGCGACACTTCACTCGTAAACCTCTGCAATAAAACTGCAGCATATGCAACTGATTTTTTGGGTTTTTTTCGCCATTTTTCAACAGCTTTTGCAAAGACATATCTCCAGGAGTTCCTTAGGAACCAGTTGAAACAGACATTCTCTAATATAACTGATTTAACTATAATATAAATCTAATAAAAAGTAGATGTCTGAACAATCTTTTAGTCAGATTCAGCACAGCTTTAACAGCTACCTGAATTATACTGCTAGCAGTAGTAGTGGCAAATTTCAACTTTTCAGATATTTATTAAACTTTTTATTTAAACTTATTACTGTGCAAGAAATAATTCATCACAGGTTTGTTAACTGATATTGATATACTTGTAATTTAAGCCTCCCCAGCTGCCACCAAACATCTATGTAACATCAGAAAGACGTTGAACTCTAATGTTGGACAGACGTTACATTTTAGTTGGAAATGAAAATCAACATTAACATTATTTTACTCTATAACCACTTTTAAACTAGTGTTTAAGACTTTGTAACAATGCTACCTTTGTCAGTCTGTACCAAAAACAATCAAACCATTCGCATTTTCACCGTCAGCAAAGCTGTTTTCGCTTCAGCCTGTTCGCTTCAGTCACTAGAGAGCGACACATAAATCAGCACCTGAAGCTCAAACGCAGCCAGATGGAAGTGAAAACTCCTGTTGGGCTCATCGAACCTGCAGCGATCCAACCATGACGTGGAGTCCTGTCCACTCTAAACTGCAAAGTGGTCATAATAAGAGCATGAGCATACGTCAGTGTGTGTGTGTGGTTGTAACTCTGCGGTTGTGTGTTCCTGCAGTGCTAATCTCCATTAATGCCTCGTCTCCCCTCATCCTCTAAATGCTCTCCCGGTATGGGAGGAATGCATCACTTTGCCTCTGTCTCTTTTCTTTCTCTCTCCACTCCCACCCAGGGGTGATGATTACGCCTTAACACCACCCGCCCCACACAACACCATCCCTCCCCGTGGCTGCTGTGCCCATCTTTAAGCCCCACAAAGGCTTTGACATTTAAGAAGACTGTTGACTCCTTAAGCCCTTCAAAGGAGGCTCAGTGGTCGCTGCAGTCGTTACAATCTAGAAAGAATTTCATTAGTGCCTTCTGTGATTTTCCTAACGCCCTGACAATGGGCTTTACACAAACACACTTCAGAGGGATCAAGTGGTCAAGTTGGCATTTACAGTACATTGTTACCTCATACACAATGGGCATTTTCATCCGACCAGTCAAAGATAAGTTACGACTGTGCGGATAATTTCCATAAAACACGGCCAGCCATGATTCATTGGTTGCTAAGCCAGTTCGTGTGGAAACCCAGGGAGCTAGTTGGCAGTCTTTATTGTTTTCTCCTGTTTTATTGAGCTTGCCAGAGTGACCGGCATCTCCATATGCCGATGTCTCCAGGAGGCCGCCGTGTTTTCGTTGGGTCCTTCCTTGTTTAACTGCCAGGTCTGAAATCTATTTGAGAGGAGCTTTTGTCGGCTAGCCGAAGTGGTTGGTGTCGCTAGCTATCGCTGCCAAGCAGATCATGTTCTCAGCTCTGTTTGTTAGTTTTCACTGTACAAGAAAAACTTAGGAACAGATTTGGTGGAAAGTTAGGCCACTGGCCAAGGAACAAGTGATTCATTATTTAAAGAAGGATTTTTAAACAAGACTTTTTAAATTGTTTTTTTTTTTTTTTTTGCTATTTTCTCATGAGCTGCTTCACTTACTGCACTTTAAAAAGTTCTGGCACAAACCTCTTATCTGTTTCTACTGTTGATGCAGATCTTTATGCAAATGCACATAAAAATTTGTCATGACATAGTAAATTTGAGGGGTTTCGCGGCCTTGGCAGACGTCTGTGCTCTCGGAGCGATTTCTAGTTTTCAGCTGTGTTTCATTGAAAGATTTAGTTTTATATTTCGTATTTATCCAGTGTTTTTAATCGCTTGTCAAGTCCATTGACTGGTTAAGAGTAGATCCCTGTTGTTGATGAGCCAACATCTTGGACTTCAGTGTAGGTCGTCTCCATCTTTGTCTCAGTATGGAGCGTTAGAGAGCCGTAACCTGCTGATGTTGATGTTGCTTCAGTTCAGGAAAGTCATGGAGGGAAATTTTTCCTTCTTAAAATCTAAAAGCAAAGCAGTCCGATCACCTAGGTGTTGTGTTAATTAAACAAAAGAACACCGTCTCGACTTTCTCAGTTATTATTGATAAAATAAAGGCTTGCCAGTCATGAAACACTAGACTGACTCTTTGCTAATGGATCCAGAATTTCACTCATTTCAGCCAGTCTAATTTCTCAGCCGTTACAGGAGATTTTAAAACAGGAAAGACTGATTGAACACTGGCTGGCAGCCGGCCAACAGCGGCTACCGTGTGTGTCTGAGTGAGTGCTGTGAGTGTCTTCTTGCTCCATTTGACATGTCCTTTACGTTTAACTGGAGCTTTCACTCAACATTGACGCTTTTAGCTCTTTCTCGCTTTTCTTTTTCTTTTTTCCTCCCTTCCTTTTTGTGTTGGTCTAGCCATTTGATTTTTTTTTTTTCTCTCTCCTCCAATTCTGCTTTTTCTTTCTTGTCTCTGGCTCTGCACAGTGGTTAGAGGAGATCCAGACAAACTATTAACAGAAGGTAGCATTGTAGGATTAGATAATGCTGCTAAATATGAACATATTTTGAGTCTTTGTTGGTGTGTTACCTTGGTTTGAGAACTGCTTGAACACTGATGCATATGAAAGGTTATTATTTGTATCTGAGAGCAAATTACACATATAGAAACCTGTTTTAATTGGTGTAGGCACAGGTAGGCCTCAAAAATGCATTAGTTTAGGGTGCTGTTGTGATTCTGCATTTTGATTGATCTAATTTAAGGGGAACAGTGTATTGTTGGTACGATTTGTATATGTTGATTAAATAAACGTGATGTTCTTGACATTAAATGGTAACTAAAAGTATCAGGATATTTAATTAAAAGGCAGAATTATGACAGGAGAGAGAGTGAGCGTGATGGAGTTACTACAAGAAAGAGCGACAGCAGTCAGGAAGCATGACTTTCATCAGGTTTAATAACTCGCGAACCGTCTGACTCAGCACCTCAGTGCCTTGTTCATTGGCCTGCAACCTGCCATCTGCTTCTCATTCACCTTCGCAGGAAATCCTCTTCGACCAATCAAATCAGAGCTTAATCTGCCAGACTTCTATGGCTGCGGCCTAGAGGTTAGGGAAGCAGGAGGCCGACGGTTTAAATCTCACAGCAGCTGGGGAAAGCTGGTGGTGAGGAGCAGGGATAAGAGATGGGTTTTTTTGTTTTTTTCATAGATCAGAGTTATTTTTCTATCCTCTGTAAACATTTGGCAGATCTCTAACAGTCCTCTGACTAGGAGACAAAAGCAGATTTTAATTGTTCCTCGTCAAAGTGTTGTAAAACTGAATAAACACACACACAAAAAAACAACATAAAAATCAAGTGTTACCAGTTGCTGTTGAAAGCAATCGCCGCCTCACTGCTACAAGCATGTGGAAATCAAAGCTCATTAGCTTGACGCTTGCATATAATGGGATTTTTCCATAGGCAGGCTAACAAAAATGAGCAATTATACATCTTCACATTAATATAGAACACTTAAAACATACACTTTAAATCTTATGTGGTAATACTCTGATATATAGTGAGTTAAGGTCTTGTAGCATGTGGTAATTAGCTTTATGCTGCTAACCCCTTGCTATGCAGTTTTGACAGCATCATGGTGGAGGCATGTAAAGGGAATCAACACACAGCATAGTTGCTATACCAGCAGCAGTTTACTAATGACTTCCTCTGGTTGACAACGGCCAGGAGATGATGCAGGTCTGAACCTCGGTGAACTCAGCTCCTCTCCCACTGTGGAACTTGGCTCGTCTCAGTGGCTGCAGCCGGCCCGGTCCTCTGGTCCATCACCAAACTATGCACTAGCTGCTCACAGTATGACGCTGGTTCAGTTCATTAAGGTTCAAATATAAACACAGACAGAAGCAAAAAAGCAAAAAATACCTCACCATTTATTGTCCATCGTGGTTTCAACATAGGAGTTCCTCAGTATCGGTTTCCTTCTGTTCTTTCTGTTGACCTTTGCCCTCTGACATATCCCGATAAGACCCGCCTTCTTCACGTTCAGAAGCCAACCGGTAGGACACATGACAAACCTGTGACTGTGACACCAACATTAGCCTCCTCCTGCTACAGCAAGCACCAAGGTCAATGTAGAAATCCACCATACAGAGCAGGTTTCATTTTAACTTTAAAAAAGTATTCTCATTCTCTAAAGTACCTTCTCTTCTTTTAAACCGGTGAAACTTCTTGATACTGATCTTTTTATTAGGATACGTGTCTTTTCCTCCATACTCTGTCGGATCGGTTGTCACGCTAACCTCTTGACGAGCAGATATTTAATTTTGGATTTGGACAATTTATCATATTCAGGATTATTTTGGCTCTGTCGGCAGGACGCGTTCTCCTCCAGCGGAACTTTCCAAGTGTGTGGGAAGGCGAACCAAGCGCTCCCAGAGTGTGTTTTTGACTCTGTGTGTTTGTGTGCCTGTCCATATGAAGGGAAATGGAGGTTTTCCCAGGGAATCCCCTCCTGTTTGAACAGCAGAGCCCAACTCCTCCAGCGCTGCTTTGTTGCTGGTGTGCACTAAATGAAACTAGACAGGAGGAGTGATACGTCTTTCTTCTGCTGTCTCTGTTTTCTAACCTTTAACTTTTCTCTTCTTCCTCTCTGCAGAGCTAAATCCCAAAGGTAAGTGTTTGGTGAGTAGTGCTGGATAGAGTAGAGCAAGTAGAAACAGACACACACACATACACACACTTGATTAAATAGACACATATGAAGACGCACCCCCTCCACACATATACATGTACTGTATTTGCTGTATTTTGGGACATACACTCCGATATTTTCTCTTACACAGACACAGAAATGTTCACATAATCAAAAATATATTATATGCATTCCAACACACACACACACACACACACACACACACACACACACACACACACACACACACATTACTACTGTATATACAGGAAGAGCCCGCTGCCTTCTGTTTATGTTCCTGTAACATGATACTTGGCAAGAGGCTGCACACATACACACTTCCTCACTGTATGGAATAAGTAAATATCCATTTATCCTTTTATACTCTGTGCAGTTTACACAGAAATATCATCTGTCTCACACACACACACACACACACACACACACACACATGTATACACATATACACACACACACATATATACACACACACACACACACACACACTGACACAAACACAGACACACTCATACTCATACACACTACGTGTCTTCCAGCTGTAGTGTTTCTAGTCGTCAGCCAGTGTTTGTTTTAGTCCATCTGAGTTTGTGTGCTCTGATAGAGAGTAGGATGTCCTGTAATCTATAGTGGGCTTAGAGGCCCTGGAGTAGTGCACACACACACACACACAGACACACACACACACACAGACACACACACACACACACTCACACAGTGTACTTTCTCTCTCTGTCTCCACTGCAAATCATCTTCATATGCAGCGATTGTGCATCAGCCAAATATGTTTTCAGGAAATGTAAACTGACAAAATTAAAGCTTTTTCTTCAGCACATCAGACAGAAAGATAAAAAGTGCTGCGGCGCCTTCAGGACCAGTGTCAATCGATAGGAATAAGAGCAAGAGAGCCGTGTAGAAAGTTGTTGGTTTTAATCTTTTATCACTGCCAGCAGCAACGTGTTTCACTCAGCACTTCAGCAAACTTAATTACAGCGGTACCCGCACATGTAAAATCTATGTTGGCGAAAAACTCGATACGTGGCATTGTTAGCTCGTCGCTGGCGCTGCCAACACACGAAATACCCAAAAAAACCTGAATTCTTCTACAAAGCTTTTCAGGAGTTTGGTGACCACTCCCATTTCAACATCACTGGTTTATGTAATGTCCCTGATGTAAAGGGCAGCAGAGTTAAACATGAAAGTAACTGGCGTCAGTATTACATGTGTATGTGAGTGTTTATTAAACATTAAGCCCTCGGTTATTAAGACTGTTGATTCATATAATTGTATTGCAGATAGACGTGTAATAGTTTCGTTAATTTCTCTGAAAAGGCCTGATTGCCTGTGTTTGACAGCTGTTGGCTCGTTGTCTCAAACTACTGAATTTTGTGCAGACGGTCGTTAGCGCAGTCGTACTGTTACTGATTTATATCGTATTGATTCTGTTGAGGTTTGGTTGAGTTCATGAAAAGATCTGAGGTCATTTTTTACAGAAGAGAAATGTCGTATTATTAATATAAGATGGGGGCGTGGACTGTGCTCGTCTTACATCAGAGGGTAAAGTGTCCGTCAGTCACCCCAGAATCCCACACCTGGACTTTCTGGCTCTGAACAGGCAAATCGCCGAAGAGACGCAGAGAAGCTGCATGATTTGTTGAAGACTGGGGGGTGTGCTGCGACTGTACGTGTATCACAGAGGAAATAATAAAAAGACACACACACATCTGATACACACATATCGGGTCTTACACATGCATACGCGACAACACACACATACACACACACACACACACACACGGCTGACATCACTGCAGCTGTGGTAAGAACCCGATCCAGTACAGTGGTCCTCTACTCAAATAAACTCTGTGGTCTCCCTCTCTTTCCCCCTATGTCTCTGACACACACACACATACACACAGACACACACAAACGCAGATTCCACATAATTGGAATCAGAGTCCTTTGAGACAGCAGTTCAGTGGAGCTACAGCAGCTTTAACAAGTAGCAGCAGTGGCGCTCGCTTGTGATTTTAAGCGTGTTTAACAGTATCAGCAGCGTTGCAAGGACGCATGCTCTGGGTGGAGTCAGGGGTCAGACGTTACAGTAATGTGATGCATACGTGGGGTTCAGGTATATCTACACTCGTCCCAAGCAGCGGATTACAGAAGAGCAAAGACCCGGACAAGCTGTGAATGAATTTTAGAATCTGTAAGACAAACACAGTAACCTCAGTTTACTGTAACTGAGAAACAGTGTTTAGTCACTTACTCACTCTTTGGCTTCGGTCTCGCTGCCGCCCGCGGTTCCAGATTTCTGAATTGAATCATCTCCTCAAACACCAACAATCTGCTGTTTTTCTTTCCACTGTATCTCGTCGACCCCTCGTGTCATCAAAAAAAAACGCCCGAAACTGTGACATCTGACGTCGGTGAATGACGCAACATTTATTTATCGCCACGGCAACTGACACAAATTCTGACCCAGCGCTTAAACTCGGCTCCCTGAGTAAGCGACTGTGAGAGAAACAGAAAATAACGTTTGAGTCAGTTGGAAATTGTTGCAGCCCGTTGCCGTGTCGCGCTGATCAGAAAACACGGAGCGAGTCACGGATGATGAAAATAAAGTCACTCAGTTTAAGCAGTTTAGTGGGAAAAGGCTTTGGTTGTGTTCAGACTGACATTAGCTCTGTAGCTCTGCAGCAATAACAGGCAACATTCATCTGTTTCCCTCGTGATCATCAAGACCAAGCATAAAACAGTTGTCGCTGCTTCGATTTATAGAACTGTCTAGTAATATTGTGTAATCCACTGTGTTGTGTCTTTGAGTCCGATAATCCTTTGAATTTATGAATGTAGTGCTCAAACTGGAACTTCCTGGATTGTGTTTCATTACGCCTTTGTGCCAGCAACAGCCCGGTTCGCTCGTCCGTCCCATTCTTGTGAACGTGATATCTCAGTAAAGCGGGAACTTCTCGAAATTTAATAATAATAATAATAATAATAATGATACATTTTATTTATAGGTGCCTTTAAAGGCCCTCAAGGACACTTTATAACGAACAGTAAAAGAAAAAAAACTAGTACTAGGCATAAAATACAGAATAAATTAGAATGAATATAGTTGTATGAAATAAATATGATAAGGTGCTGGTGCCAAAATTTGGCGCAAACATTCACTTTGACTCAAGAATGAACTGATTTAGAATTTGGTGGGTTCAAAGGTCAAAGGTCAAGTTTTTTGGCCATAACTCACAAATTCATTTGCCGTTCATTGCCATTAATTTTCAGTTCGACACATTTTAAAACAAATATTTAAAACAAGATAAAATGATGAAGTGATGACAGTTTTATATCCACATGATCATAGGTTCAACTTTACAGCGACATCATGATGTTCTGCAAAACATTTCTGGTCATTATTCAACGCTGTAACTCAGAAACAGAAGGACAGATTGTGGTCATATTTCCTGCAACATGGCTGGTTGGTGGAGTGATACGACCACGAGGCGATAATTCTAGTTTTCTTACCGGTACCTGTAGCAGGTAACGTTTTCACACCAATGTAGAACCCTGTATTTCATCAGTACTGCTTTCAGTCTGAAGGCTTGTTGTATCACAAACATGTAGGGCATTCACTAAAGCTTCAGTGCAGTAGGAGACCTTGTTGTAAGTACTACCACTATTCAATTAGTGCAAGGAGATCACAACAATGTAAAAATATACTTCTAATGTCACAAAAGAACAAAAGTTCATGTTTAGGCTGTACAAGTAGAAGTACATTAGAAACACATTGTCAGTTCCCACAAATCTACTATAACACTTTGAGTTTGAAATCAAAACTTTCTCAAACGTGTGTTTATTCACCTTCTCTGTCACTTGGCTCCTTCAAGAAATAGAAATTTAAAGCCGTCGGTCCAAGTTTCAAATTAAAAGTTGTTTCCCCCGATAAAACAGTCATTGATCCCCTGGGGTCGACAATTAGTAACAAAATACAGCAAAGAAAAATAGTATGTGAATAAAGTTAAAATCAAAGGGCGATAAAGATTTTGGGCAGATGTGGGTTGCGGGTTCACGTCAGGTTTTGGGTCAACAGTGGAAACAGGTAGACTCCTGAGAACAAGGTTTGATTTTCAACAGTTACGTGCCCTTCCTGTAAAGTTTGTGTCGTGTAATTATATATCGAACATAATACAGCTGTCTGGAGCTACTTAACGGTCTTTCAAATGTCCTGAAAATACTGCTTTTTTTTTTTTTTGAAAGTTTCCTTTGTGAAATTGAAGAAACACACACACACACACACACACACACTCTGACACACTCTGACACACTCTCGGCATGCAGGTAAAGCTCTGTATTGTGGGTGTGACCTGGTGATGAAAGCCTGGGAATGTGCAGAGGTGGAGTGGAACAAGATGAGATTTACTGCCACACACACACACACACACACACACACACACACACACACACACACTCACTCACATATGCGCAGTGGTGACTAGTAAATGGCGATGCTGAAATTGAGACGGAAAAAATGTTTCCCCTGGTCTTTTCCAGCCTTTCATGACCTCCACTCCCTTCCTCCTCTTCTTCCATTTCACCCTCTCTGTCCATCTGTCTCTTTCTCTCTCTCTCTGCTATCTTGTCATCTTTCTTTTCAACTCATTTATCTCCACCTCTCTCTGTTGTCTTTTCCCTCCTTGTCTCTTTGACTTTTTATTACTCTGCTTACTATATATTTCCTCCTCCTCCTCTTCCTCTCTCTTTCCCCACCCATCATTAATACCAGAGGACAGAGTTTCAAATGTCAAGCTCCTCACAGCAGCTTGTCTGAACACACAGGTAACCCTAAGTGTGAACATAAAACTTCACCGTGCTAACTTTATGTTGCATGAGAAGACTTTGCACTTTGGTTTAACTGGTTCAGTTTCAGGGCCTTCATTAGTCACAGTCCCTGCATATTATATTAGTGAACTAAATATGATCTCATCGCCTCAAAGGGAGAGTGATAGTTAGGAGGTTTAGGTTCAGTCAAGCTCACTCCGCTGGTTTGGATTCATCAGTGAACAAATATAAAAATAAAACATTTCAGTAAGTGTCTGCGGCGCGGTATTAACTTGTAACCCGCTTCCTGAAATAGACTGAAATGGGTCAACCTGTAGATAGTTTTCTTTAGCAACGCTGTCACTTTAGTGTTGCTGTGAATATTTAGATTTGTTGCCAGGTAATGAGCAGAGGGACGCTTCAGTCGCGCTGATGTTTTTTTTTTATCTGTGCTGTCACAGCAAGTCTCCCAAGCACCATATCCGTGTCCGCCTGCAGTATTTGTTCATTCATTATATATCACATAGACTTCACCTTAGCGTTGACCGCTTTCCAAAGCATACCTCAGAGTTCTTGGGTTTGTTTTTTTGTTTTTTTTTTTTCCTTCCTTTCACTCTTCCAGAGGTTTCATTCATTTCAGTTTGTTATGAAATTAATCTTGGAGAGACTTGAAACCTGTTTGAGTCAGGCAATCCATCACAGTGTACATCACGTCTGCTCTGATTATTGTCAAAGGAACTTACAAACACGGTGGTGCGGCTTGAAAAATGCTTTTCGGAAAGGTTAGGTGTATGTGGGCCGCAGTAAAACAGGCTAAGAAAGTAAATGAGAAAAACAAAATCACCCGATAGTTGCTTAAAAACTCTTAACATGATCGTGTATTTGGGCAGAGATCTGGATCTGATCTTTCTGCTCTTATTTTCCCAACGGGGAGAATTGTTAGGATTCAGAATGAGGTTTGGTTTCTAATACTGAATCAATAAATTATAATGAGTAAACCCGCTGCATATTCACTCTGACAACATGTGTATCTAACCTTCTTTGTTGTGTTTGCTGGATATGATCTGTTGTTTAGCTACTCAAGTCACCCGGGACGAAGGGTCAATGAGAAATGAAGCGACTCCAGTTCGTCTTCCTCTCTGAAACTTCTTTTTCTCTTCTTTGCCTTTCTACTGTTTTCCTTGGATTCCCCCCCCCCCTCTTCCTCCGTCTCACTTCATGTACTCAACCCAAACCGAATCGTCCACATAATCACATAATAATTTCATGTCTGCAACGAAAAAGGTGCACAGTAGTTGCAGGTAATTATTGGTATCTATAATAACCTGGAACATTCCATAATTAAACCGTCCCCTCCCTCCCACCCCGGCTGTCGTTTCTCATATTATTCCTCTTTTGGTCTCTCTCTCTCTCTCTCTCTCTGTCTCACACGCTGGTTTATTTCCACTAATTTTTTCTGCTCAACTCAGGTTTTTCTCCCTCTCCTGTCGTTAGCTCACCTCCTCTCCCCAGGTTCCCTCGCTCCATCTCTTCTTAACAACTGTTTTCCTCCATCCCTGCTTTCCCTCGCTCTGTTATTCTAGCTAAGTGTAGATTTCTGCCAAGCTCAGCACTGCTTAGGCTCAGAACATAGTTATAGTTGGCCTTAACTCCCCTCCTCCCCTCTTATTTTTTTTTCTTCTCAAAATTTCACTCCGCTTTTCACAAAACTTCCCTTTCGGATCTTTCGACAAACACCCCTCCGCTGTCGGTGTTGATGTTGAGTCTCTCGGTCTCGTAGCGCTCAGATACTCACGTAATCTGAATATCTGCAGTGTTGACTGTGTTAACAAATGTTAGCCTGACTGCTGTTTGGAGAGAAAGCCTAAAAGGCGATGTTCTGACCTCGTTTTATTCGCCGTAGGGGAGTTTGGTGGAGATGGCCGCCACTTAATGGGGGAAGTGGGTTGTGACTTTAAGGCTGTATTTCAGGAAAAGATCAACAGGCGGAGGGAGATTGGAGAGTAGCATGAAGTAATGCAGAATAAATCGATCTTTACAGCTTCTCTGTTATCCAGAATAAACAAAAGTGATGAAGAAATCTATGTATTTTCAGTGTGTGTTTAGTTTTGCGTTGGCAGGTCAGTGGCATTGCCACAAAATGGAAAAATGGAAAGGACTAAATTGTGGAGAACGGACAAAATGAAATATAAAAAGTGAATATTTCAAAGGTTTTTAAACTTTGACCAACTTTCCTTTTCCCAGGAGTTCCCAGGGTTCTCCAGTGCAGGTTCCGTCTACCTCTGGCGTTGGTGTGTGTTCCCTCCTCTCCGACCAAAACCACCAAGTTCAAGATAACTGTGGAGACCAACCAGCCGCCAGTCAACCTCAACTCCATCTTCCCAGGTAACATATGGGCGCACAACCAGACACTTGACACATACTGATGTTCTCCTGACGCTGTTCTCAGTTTCCCCGACAATCAAGGCTCGCACATTACTATGAACCAAAACCAAAGACTGTTTATTAAGATGGACGTAGCCTCCGTGACGTGACGTCCGCGAAGTTTCTGAAGATCGGTTTTTAATGCTGCCCCAGCTGTGGCCATCTTAGCAGTACCTGACTCCGTCTAATTCCTGGCTATTCAAAAATAGGCAAAGAGGTGGGGCGCGTATGCGTACGCTCACCCACCTGTCACTCAAACGAAAACCTTAATAAAATGCAAACAGGTGAATTATATAATATATTTTAATTATATAAAAGATGAGAAGAACATACATTTAATTTATACATATTTTAGTTAGTGGAATATGCAACTATTAGACACATTTGCCACATTGCTTTACAGCTGTATCTCTTGTAACGCTTTTGGGTGGTTAAAGAAAATCTGGGTCACGTGTCCTGCAGTTTTGATTGTGATTTTCACTCAAAACTGTGTCGTAAACATTGTAAATGAATGAGATAATGGGTGGCTGGAGCTCCGCAGGTAGAGTGGGCTGTCCGCTAATGCATTTCACAAGTCGAGTGTATAGATGTAGTCCATTTACAAAATCAATCCGGTGTATCAGTGATGAAACAATCTGTTGTTTTGTTGTTGTTTTTTTTCCCACACAGGCATTAGAATAAATGTCTGTTCAGTTAGGATGAGATGGAAACGTCGTGCAGCTAATGAAGCTTAATGGCTGAGGAGCGGTGACGTG